TGTACAAGTTAGATCGATGATGCCAGATTCCCGGTACAATTCAGTGTGACGTTCATCGTATTTCGTTGTGTGTTAGGTTCTGAGCTGCCTCGTGATGTGCTTGGAAAAAGATGAAGATTGTTTCACAAAATGGGAGAGCAGCTATTTAGCGACCTTACAACAATCAGGGTAAGTTTCGTTCATAAAGTAAGGAGTATTATGGTCATTTCGCGGCAAACCTGTTGTGGCGTTGCCCACAGTTTCTATATAGTCTCGATTGTCGCTTGCTAACAATCTGGAAATGTCTGGCGGACTTAGTGTAACCAGCACAGAATTGACCCACTTGAGATGTGACGTGAGCGGAGAGGCCTGAGCGCTCACGTTCCATAACAAAAGTGGTGTTTTATGTCAGTCGCTATCTCAACCTCGACCTGTATTAAATTTATGTTGTTTTTATTTCAGACTGTTGTTAAATCATCTTCTAAACACGTGGGATTCATTAACTAAGGTATGTTTATTTGGGAACTAGCAAAAGAACAATCTCACAGATCGAAATGTTATAGTTACTGATTTGTNTTGATCTGAAAATTGAAACCACTATATGTCAAACTGATTGTACGTTATTTGTGCTGGCTTGCCTGGCTTTTGTGCTTTCTACTATAAAGAATCAAGTCATTTGTTCGATGAGGTAAGGTCATGTGAGGTAAAGCATTATACACGATAAATCGAACAGCAGTAACAATGCACTAACGCCTTATCGTAAACGTCTTCTTTACAGGGTGTTAAGAGCAAGCTCTTTGATACCGTTGAAGTTTTTCGAAGTAAAAACGACCCTCTTTTGGAAAGCAACAAAGCAAAGGTAGGTTCCTTTAAAATAAGTGTATCGATAAAATAGTCTCCTTCGCCATGGTTATTGACTTCCGTCGTTAACAAATGTCTTGTGGTCAGGATCCTATCTTTGAAAAAATTGAATGAGCCCGTGGTATTTTTTCAGAGACGTTGCTAAAGAAAGTGTCGTATTCTCGTGGCAATAAGCTGATGTGAGAAGTTTCAGCGTGGTCGTAAGCGCTCGTACTGTTTTCTGATTGGAGGATAGGAATCGGTAAATCGTCGGGTCCGTCGGGTACTCGAGGACATTCTTGTCTATCTCCGCTCGCTCCAACTGTCATTTTGGTCGTTAATTTAGGGATACTGTGCTGTTTAGATGCACACAGATTTGTTCTGATCTAATGCTGAATTCTCAGAACTAATTTGAAAGATATGTTTAGCAAACAGTGAGGAGAATTGATGTTTTGGACATGCTTGTGAAAGTATTTAGTCATTGTACAGCAAGGATTGAACGTGCTACAGGTGTCGTGATATTTTATTACCTGTTTGTGTTTGTGGAGACTACAATAAATATTTAAATTCTCATCTTAACGAAATGTCTACACTTCCCTTCTTCACAGGTCGGGCTGGACAGGTGTGTGAAAGCTTGCCAGGTAAGCGAGGAACTCATGGGCTCAAACAACAAGCGTGAACTAGCTAGTGTTAAAATCGTTCTGTACTTAGCTGTTTAATTGTGATGTGAAGGTCGTTTATTTAGGATCGTTTCAGCAGGTTGTTTACGTTAACGCCTTGTAATAATCATGCCAGATGCCACTCAACCAATCAAGTGCATGTCAATCATAGCGGTTTTACATGCTGTAGCGCTCTGTGATTGGTTAGCGAACCGAAGTAACGTGATATTCACGTGATAATTTGATATTGTTCCAATGCAGCAAGCAGGGTTTGTTCTGTTGTCTTGGGTTTTCCCTGAGTCTTGTGCTTGTGCCAAGGTTCTTTGTGCAAACTGCTTGGCTGATTTGAAAACAAAAGGCGAGCGCGATATTTTATAACGTGACTGTACTGATTGAGTTGAGGTGACAATGGCTGAAGACAACAAAATGGTGAGTTTCACTGCTGTGCAACCAGACTTGAAATGTAGCTTTTCAGAAATGGTCAATCTCATTATGTTGTCTGTTTGTTCTCCAAGTCTTGCTATTCTCATTAAGAAACCTTTTTCTAGCCTTGTTATTGATCACGTTACGGATTTCTGAAGATTATTTAGTGCATAATCATTGCCAGAAGCGTTTCCCAGCTATTTTTGCAAGACCCTTCGTTGTATCGTACTGTGAAATCCATTTATGGCAAACAATAAGTAAAGTACACCCTCTTGTTGTCGCCTTTAACATAAACAAGTCTGAGTTCAGAGTAAACAAAGTTATTAGCTGCTAAAGAATACGTTTAGGCTGCTTTGGCGGGAAGGTGAAAAACTTGCCTCTTTATCAAGTTGTAGTTGATAAAGTTAATTAAACGCCGTAACGAGTTTGCAGAGCTTTCGTTTCGAACAATTTGTCTTCCTCTTTCAGAGCAAAATGCTACGACGAAAGGCTCGAAATAATAGCTTCACAATCACAAACTTTCTTCCGTGGTTCGTTAACTCTTAACAACTTCAAGTGTTGACATGGGTTCCCAGGACATTCGCGCTTTTCAATTTGTACGTTAATATTTGTAGTAAGTAATTTTACTGAATATGCGGCGCCTCACCCAAGAGAAGCTAGTGTGTTTTCTCCACCCGTTTCGTTTTGTCAGTTACGTTTTTCTTGTGGTATAATGACGAAGGATAACAGATTAGCAAAGTGAAAACAGGAAAGAAAATTACGGCCAACTTATTCATGTGGTCTGTCTTTTAATCAGTCACCATATAAATTTTCACATCGGGTATTGGAGATTATTAATTTTCTTGCAGGAGCTTTTATTTGCATTTCATTTCGTATACACTTAATACTTAGCTCGAAAATAGATGAGCGGTTTTGTCGGAAATATTAGTAGATATCGGGTATTTGACTTGGTTGAATAATGAAGGCTGATATTTTTCAGTCGTGCTGCAACCAACTTGACATCAGGTCTTCATTGTCCGCTTGCTATGTTCTAGCTGGTGCGTGTCTCTCGTGTAATTAATAATTCATCATATCACCTGCTTCTGAAATCTTAATGTCGGACTCGAAGTTTGTACACATTTCTTTTATCCTAAATAAACCAATATTAATGAAGATGTCACTGGTCTTTCGTTGCGCTGTTCCATAAACCATTTTTTTCAGGACAATTGTGTATTTGCAGATGATTTACTAGGTCGGAATTAACTAGAGACTTGTTGCTGAGGCTTTTTCTCGCAATCCTACTTGCCCGCTAATCATTGTTGCTAACTGGGTCTTATTCTTATGAAACCATATTTGGCTCCTTAGAAACATCACTGAATAAGGAGGCGGGGCAGGGGTGGGAAAGAATTTTCGTCTGAACGCGTGTACAATGTAGGTACAATTTATGCCCAAAACTGTAGCCTGCACTCATTGGGTCTTTTCAATCGTTGAGAAGCTTAACCTAGAAAGAGGACAGAACAAGCTACTGCCTGCCTAGCACGCAATTTTGTACTGTCCCTCTTCATATCATGGCCGGCTTAGTGAGCTTGAGTCAGAGGCTACTTGTACTTATATTACGACAGCGTCAACAGTTATCTTTTGTCTTTTCAGGCCATAAAGCAAAAGAAGGCTTGCAAGCGTTCGTTCTTTTCCTTCGGAAAACTCCTCAAGTTAGTTTTGTTGTTGTTAATAGCAGCTGTTGCTTTTGACGTCTACAAACACAAAGGATACAAAGGTACGGTGCTGCTTGTGTTTTTTTCCGGCTTTTTACCGTCGGGTGTGTGCCCTGTTGATGGAGTCAGACGCTCTTTCACACTTTCAAGTGCTATCAGGAATTTAAATCTAGTGTTTTGTTTCTGTTAAAAGCGAGCAAAACAGCACAGATTGCAAAGGATTATGGAATAGAACAGGCAGCATTAACAGGATATGGACAAGCAAAGAATGGATTCGATGTTGCAAACAGGTAGCAAGCTGTACACGCTGTGAAGGTTGTTTCAAATTATTTTTCTTCACTTTACCTTACGTATTAGCTTCTGTACGTGACTAAGGCCTCGCATGTGCCACTGTCTGCTTGTGCCACTGCTATTGTTTAAATAGAATGAAGTCACTCTGGGCGTATCAAACATGATATCCATTCGGGGTTTCATTAAGGACCGGGCACCAGGCAAATTGACGGGCTGTGAGGATGATTTTGCCCACCTGGTTTGACCATTTAGAGGAAAGTTTTTCTAAAGAAAAGTTCGGTTCAAAAGTTTTGCCTGCCTTTGTGTACCAATTGCCTTCCTGCTGAACCCAACCCCTCTATCATAAACTCTTTCCAGGTTCAAAAAACGTCTGGTGCGATTTAGTGGATTAAAGTAGTCAAGCGGTTTATCAGTGCTGGCGCTTAGTGCTAGCTTAGGGATTGATTTTATTACCACCTCCAGCATGGGATGCCTTTCCATCGCAGCTCCTCCCCTCCCCTCCCCTCCCTCCTCTACGCTTGCATTTTCTCAGATAACCCTACTGTTAGCTGCTATCCATCTATACTCTTGGATGCAGATAGGCACTGTAGGAGTGAAGTGTATGATATGAAGTCCAGTTCCCGAGTGATCAAATTCTAATTTCTCGATAAGATATCAAGGGTACTTTCCACAGCACACCAGAGAAAAAGTTGTTTTGATGCGCGGCTGAATTCTCTTTACTTAATGAGTGATTACCAGTAAGGAGAATCTGCATAATGGTAGCAAGCCCTGAATGTTTGTTTTCAGCTGGGTTCAAACGAACTATCCGACGTACTACAGCAAGTTTAGAGAGCACGCCGACCCAGTGGCTACGTTTGTCTGGGAAAAGCTCAAAATTGTTGGAGCGTTCATCGCAGAAACAACCAAACCAGCGAGAGATTATCTTAACGTCAAAATACCACAGCTTTTAGAAAAGGTGAGAAGGACTTAATGGGACCATTTATCATATCATCGTTTGTGTTCTGACGTGCGCTCTTTTCGCCGCTGAAAACTGAAGGAGAGAGTACAACCATCTGTTGTTGTCAATTCCACGCAGACGCAGCCGGCGGCTATTGCAGACAACCTGGAAATATTTAAAACTCAATTTTTATGTGTTTTAAATGTACCCAAATGTTGATATATGAATACCATCTCTCTAGTAACCCCCTCGCCCGCAGGGGAAAGCTTATTAGACATGTGAAACGTTTTCGGTACAACGTTTAGTCTTAGAGGTTTCACCAGCTGCATATCCAACGACACATCCGAGACGTCTCGGGGAAAGTGAAGTCGATTTAGATTAAAGGGTCTGAATCTCACAGAAATGTGGCGTACGTTTCGATATAAGAGCTTTAAAAGCAAAATAAGGCATAAAATCTTTCGATTTCACGAAGTCAAACGCTAATCAGCCGGACGGACGTTTTGCTCAGGTGAGCATTTCTGGACTACACGAAGTAATTTTCAGTACCATTATAATAATCTTTTGTATTTTTCCTGAAGATTGAAACCGAGGGCCCCGTGTATCTTGGTATAGTTCGCGACCATTTAAAACACGTGTGGGACAAGTGTTGGCCTGTGGTGTATAAATACCTGATTATAGTTTGGGATTTCCTGTCGGAACATGTTCCAATCCTCCTCGCCAAGGCACAGGAGCTTTTAACAAACCTTGCATATAAGATTTACGAACTCGCCCCAGACTTTTTCTCGGCTGTGGCGTCATGGTTCGCGAAGCTTGGCGAAAAGATCGTCGAGAAGCTGCCTGATGTATTGGCTGTGATTCAGGAATACGTCATCATAGCTGTCAATCTAGCTGTCAATCTAATCCACAGTGCGGTGGAGTGGGTGCAGAATATGGCTGGAAGGTACGTAGTGTCGTTGTGTTTTGACAAATTTAACTCACTATCTATGCAGAACATTTTTGACCGGTGCAGCAGCGTGACTGGTCTTAGTTTCGGTAAGTAGCATGTTAAGTTTGCCCTGATTAATTAGAGCATGTTGTGTTGTGTTGTAAATTGCGAATTGTGAAACCAAACGTTACCTCTAGAACAGTAATTTGTCGCCTTCCCAATCTCTTCTGTGCAGTTCTCAGCTTCATTTCTCAATTTAGAAGCCCAGTTAACTCAATATCGTATAGCGACACATTTTGTAGCTTTTCGTAGTGCGTAGCTCATACACAAATTTAACGTTATATACATGTAAAGTTCTTTTCACCTCAATTTAACGTGTTGGTTTACTGATGATTTTAAGTAATTGGTCATTGATTCATTTTTTACTCAGTTCTGAGGTGCAAGACACAGTTCATCAAAAATCAACAATGGCCGGATCATCAAAACCCGTACCACAATAAATCCAGTAACTGCCCGCATCAAGGGACCGTGTGACTGCGTTGAAATTTTCACTCTACCGTCTTTTGTCAC